CAGCAGACATAACAAAGATGGAAGGTGCTCAAATTCAGTAATGATGATGAGAAAGATGCTCCACCCTTCCTTTGCTGTCAAACTCTTCTTTCTCATATAAAGGAGCTCAAAGATGTAAAAATCAATTCTCTGTCTCTTATCTAGTTTTTTTCTATCTACATTATTATGGGCAATAAGGTCTACTATGAGCAAATTAAGCAATGGAAGCCTTATATTTTCTGTTTTTCCTATCTACCTTTTTTATTATTGCAATCAAGTCTCTTTAGCGCTCCTAAGCAATTACCTAGTGTTCATGGACTTTTTTTTATAGTATTTTCTCTTTTATTGGGTCTTGGTACAAATTTTTCCAAGATCTATCCCAACTTTTTTTTATAGAAATTTTATTGTTAAAAATGAATCCAACCAGATAATATTAAATCTCTGTATATTCAAATAGAAAAAAACTTAGAATAAAAGTCAGTTAATATAATATAATTTATATTTGGATTAGCATTTATAAAAGGCCAATTGGAAATGTTGAAACTTGTTTAGATAATTAATAAAAAAATAAGTTTGCATATAAAATGACTAAAAAGGACATGAATTATATAGAATAGTATTGTTTTATATTATATGATTTTAATGTAATAATTGTTAAAAAATAATTAAAATTATAATTATAAAATAATAATATTTGTTAGTAAGAAAATTGGTAAAAAAGATTTAAACTAAAGGGTTTGTGTAAAAAATTAATTTGCAAAGTGCTGCTACCTTGTGTGTATAAAAATTTATTAAGTCTTTCTCACCAATTAAATTTTTAATGAAGACTTTTTTCCCAATTTTTTCTAAATTTATTATTTGTTTTTTTTGGATACTTTTATAAACATATTCCTCCAGTCCTATTTATGAGGCAATTTTAGCTTGTTTTGCACAGATTAAAAAAAACTTTAAACTGTATTAACTTTCTATTAAAATATAACAACCTTCCAACTTTACCCGATTTAATGTATACATCTTTTAAAAAAATAACTATCTAAAGGACAAAATTATAAATTCATGCCAAAAATTTAGTAAAGTGACTTATAAATATGATCAAGAAAAAAAAAATTTACCTTATAAATAGGACCATAGAAATAAATAATTATTGAATTTTTTGGAGTAACTTTAAATTTTTATTAAAGTAAGGTAAGAACCATTTTGAGACACTCCTCAGTCTCCTCTCTAATCTCATTGTCATCATTTTTCTCTCTCCACGGTGGCTTTTTTCTTCAAGCTACAAATTTTGAATTTTCCTTTAACCTAATTTTTTCTCAAAAGCCTATTGACTCAAAAGCGAATCAAGACAATACCTCACTTTTAAATAAACCAACAACTAAAGTTTCACTCTTTCCAAGATGCGTTTTCTCCTCTCTACAGTATTCCAAACACAAGCTAAGTCGGTTGCTTAACAACTTGGGAGTTTATTTGGCTGTTATTTGGATTATGATACATCCACTAAGTTCGATGGAGGCGGATTCCATTTTAAAGTTGCCATTCAGGATCAGTTTCAGTTCGGCCAGTTGCCTTCTTTTCATCTCAATACAGGTAAGCTTGTTTCACTGTCTTCTATTGTTGACCACGCTGCGCCCACACGTCGACGATGTGGGGAGTTTGCGCACACTGATCACTTGTGCTCAATGTCGGCTGCAAGAACCTTGTTTCAGACCAAGTTTATTGGGCCTCAATCGGCCCATGTATCTTTTGCAAAGGGGCATTACTCAGTCTTGGAGTTTCTGCTTGGGCTTTAACTTAGCCCAACTCATACTTTTGGATCGGATAAAATGAGCCCAACTCCCCCTCCCAGTTCGTATGAGAAGCGTTCAACGCAGATGGGTCCTTCTGCGAGCCCTGCCTCTCGAAAGAGCGTTCAACTCAGTCTTGGGGTTTTGTTTTATTTGTCACAACAAGCTTTCAGTCAACTTCTTGTGTTCCTATTTCTTCACTGTCTATAAAAAGCAATGACAACGAGCCTTTTACTCAAGAGCTGCAAGGAAGCGCCCACAGGATGAGCCTCATGATCATCCTCAGGGTTCTAGCAGAGCTTGTGCCAAAAAACTCCGCACATGTGCATGAATAATTGGGGACTTCTAGGTTTATTAGCAGCCATTTAGGTTATTTTATTTTTTGAGGGACCAAAGCCTATAGTTTAAAACTCCAGGAACTAAAATAAAATTTTGTGCCCTATATAATACTCCTTCCTGTTCAAAATATAAGCTAAGCTTTGTTGGAGGGACCTGATTTTTTTCTAAGATAACATTCACTTTTGTCTAAACATTTAATGAGATTTTTTCAATTTTACCCCAATATATTCTCTTTCCTTTTTAATTCATTTACTGCATCTTTTATTTATTCTTTTCAGTAATAAGGGCATATTTGGAAAAAATGTGTGTCTTAGATATTTATTGTTTTAAAATTATTGTAACTAGTTTTTTTGATAAACATGAATAGATAAAGTTTAGCTTATATTTTGAACCGAAGGGATAGTAATAATGATAAATCACATAAAATGTGAAAGCATTGCACTATTCACCAAACATGGATAGTTTCGTTAGTAATTTCAGATTTCAGACAAATCCACTGTCTCCTCCAATAATCTCATTCAAAGCATGTATAAGTTCAAATTAAATGACAAATAACTACTTTAGCCTAACTTTACGAGGATCAATCAGAACATCAACTGAGCAACTACATATGTGTGTGTGTAATTAGCATGTAGGATTCAATACCTAAAAGCAAAGTTGCAGCTTTCTTCTTATCAGTTTCTTACAATAAATCACAAGTTTAAAGCTTCTAAACCTAATTCTGAATCTTAATCTGAATCTTCCACATATCCAAATCCCTAACCGTGGTAATCTCCGAAAGGATTTCTTTCTGGTCAACCTGCGCTTCCCAGTTTCGAACCCATTTCCAAGGTCACTACCTTTCGAAGCTAACCCACTTTCTCTATCACTTTCATTGAACTGTGTGTGCCCTTTCTGCATGTTGATCATCGCCCATGGATCTTCATGCTCAAGTTCTGAATCAATACCCCACAAAAGAATCGGCTTTATCAATGGCGACCCACTGTAATACTCAAAATGTGTAGCCAAACTGGTATGTTCCATTTCAAACAATCTCCTCAGTGATGTGCTTCCTGCTTTCATCAGTTCCAACAAGTTTCTTCGCGAGGATGATGATGAACAAGATGCAGCTAATGATGATGATAAAGACGATGATAACGAAGACGAAGACGAAGCATACAGATATTTCTGATGGTGTATGATCTTCCTAATCTTGTCGTTTTGAAATTGTTTGTCGATAAACCAGTTAGGTTGATGATCTCCATCAGTTTCTTCAGTAATCTCAGGTGACATGTTAACATCTGTATTGATGATCTAAGTAAATGTGGGAGTACAAATTTCACTCTATGGAGATTAAGAAGATAAGGGATGGATGAAAACAGAAAGGACAGAAAATATGAAGAAGGAAAAAGAAAATATAAAAAAGTAATAGGGAAGCCGGCTGTGCATAGCCATTTGGTTCACCTTTCATTTTCAGAACAGAAACTGACATACAAAAAGACAAGCTTCAACATAAACCCTATTGAACATTGAGGAATTGCTGAAGAAGAATGTAATATGAGCGTGTCTCAATAAGGAACAAAGTTCTCCCAAATGGAAACAAAACATTCTGTAAAATATTAAGTTTTGATGAGGTCCATACATATCATTGCAACCGGTTTACGGGACGGCAGAGACAGAGTTTAAGCTTCTATGATGAATCAATTATTAGCAATTATTTGTATTAAATTATATAAGCTACCAAATTGATAATAAATATTTAAACACTTTACGAAAGAGGATTCCATTGTATTGTAGTTCATCAGAATGAAAGAAGTCTTCATTTTATAAGCGTATATGAGAAAATATTATCCATTTTATCACTCGATACAGATCTTTTTAGTTTTAAAAAAATTTATCCAATAAATTAACTGCAGTATTTGGACAAAAATGGAAAAAATAAAATAAAAAAAATTGCAGGTTACACAACACAGGTGCATGATAACCTTAGTAGGAAGGTGAGTATGGGGTGGTTGTGGCCTTATGGGTTTGATCCCATAGCACTGGTTTAGCCTTCTTTTTTCTCTCAGTATTCTTAATTTTGAGATTTTACCAGAAATAATTAATTTTAACTTACTTTATTTTTTAGCTCACGTAAAATATATTTAGTTGAGGCTCATAAAAATAACCAGGAGGAGTGAAAAAGAAGAAGTTAGTGACAGAATTTCTTGTTTTCTACACTTTGCAAATATGTATCATATTATTAAAAGAATATATTCATTTTATTTTGGTTGAAAAATTTAGTAACAAAAAATATATGATATTGTATCTAATTTAAAATGGACAGGACCCCTTAAGAGCATATGATCGTTTTATACCCCATTAAATAGCAATTAATGGCGTATGGAAAGGAATTGAAAATCTGAACTCATTAATTTGTGATAATATTCAATAACAAGTCGGTGAATGGTGATGACAGATCATTGTTTTTTTGCCATTTCAGGAATCATATTGTATCTATTTAGATCATAAATGAGAAAAGTGAGTAACTTTAATATATATGAAAAGAAAGCCCTTGTAATTTATAATGGATGTATGAAAGAGTCCATCATGGTTCTTGCTTCAATTTAATGTCGAAATTGGCTGCCAGAGCCATGGCAATCTTCCTTAACGAGTACTTGTAATTGCTTCGAAAGAAACATTAACGAAAACGAACACAGTAAATGCATTGACGTAAAACCCCGGTCATTCCCAAAAGTGATCCAAGAATAAAAAAAAATAAAAAACATTTTCATCATAGATAATCTACTTGTAGCAGTGGGCCATAGTTGTGATGATTCAGCCCCTCCCCACAGAATCTTTAAAAACTGCTTCTACTTCTTCTTCTTCATCTGTAACCTGCAAAAAATTGAAGAGGCTTTTTGTTTCTTTCATTCATTCCATATTTCTCTGTTCCTTCAAAAGCACCATGGGTCCTAAGAAAATGTCTCAGAAACTCTTTGATTATCGGCTTAAAAGCCGCGCCACCAAGTCCCCTATCTTCTATATCATTGCATTTATCGTTATATTTTTCTTCGTCTATGCTGAGAATATTTTCTCAAGTTCTTCAATCCTACAGGCCATTCATTTGACTGCTCAACAATCCGCAGATGAACTAAGGTTGCCTCAACCTGAAGAATTCACTGATCAGTCATCAATTGTCGACAGTGTTGGTGCCTTCGAGCTTTCTCCTCAAGAAAATGAAGAGACAGAGGCTGCTCAGCAATCTGCAGATGAACTTACCATACCTCAATCTGATGAACCATCTGAGCCATCGATTGTCGACAGTGTTGACGCTACCCAGCTTTCTGCCAAGGAAAATGGTGAAGACCAAGAGACAGAGACTGAAGAAGAAGATGAAAAAGAAGATCCTCTTATGCCCCCAGAACATGTATCCAAGGAAGAGAGAATGGCCTGGTTCAGAAGAAGACTTCCAGAACTGAAGATTCTTAAATCAAACGGCTTGTCACAGCAGTTTCATAACAGAGTCATGAGTTTCCTCAACACAGGCTGCTCATTGCTGTTTCACATCATATGGCTGTCACCAACAAGGTCCTTTGGGAAGAGAGATTTTCTCACCATGGACACAATCTTTCAGGTCCACCCTCAAGCATGCCTGCTAATAGTGTCAAGAACAATGGATTCCAAACGAGGGGATGAAATTCTGAAACCCCTTCTTGATCGAGGATTCAAAGTTCTTGCAGTCACACCAGATTTGCCTTTCATGCTCAAGGACACACCAGCCGAAGCTTGGCTTGAAGAGCTGAACAGTGGAAACAAAGACCCAGGACACATCCCATTGTCCCAGAATCTTGCTAATCTTATAAGGCTGGCCTTCTTATACAAATATGGAGGTGTTTATATGGACACGGATATCATAGTAGTAAAAGACATGTCAGGCTTGAGGAATGTGATAGGAGCACAAAGTGTGGACTCAGTGACTAAGAAATGGAACAGGTTAAATGGGGCAATCATGATATTTGACATGAACCATCCAATTCTGCTGGAATTCTTGCAGGAATTTGCTTCAACTTTTGATGGGAATAAGTGGGGACACAATGGGCCTTACTTGGTTTCAAGAGTTATAGAGAGATTGGGAAGCATCCCAGCATACAATCTCACAATTTTGCCTCCGAAGGCTTTCTACCCTGTGAATTGGTCTAAAATTGGGAGGCTTTTCAGTAAACCAGAGAATGAGACAGAATCAAGATGGGTAGAGAGCAAGATCAACGAGCTGTATGAGGGAGAGACGTATGCAATACACCTGTGGAACAAGAGAAGCAGAGAATTAGAGATTCAAGAGGGAAGTGTGATGGCTAGAATAATCTCCCAACACTGTGTTGTCTGCGCTGCCATAACAAGTTAAAGAGGAACAAGCTTACTCATCTAAATGCAAAGCGTTACTGGTTCCTTAAGATCAAGCAAAATTGTAATTTTACACATTAAACTCTGTAAACATTTTAATACCAAACTTCGACTTATGAGTATTAGATTTTTCTGGACCAAAGATGCAGTCAACAGTTCATTAGCTGAATCCTTCTTGCTGTGCATGCTAAAATTTCTTACATGTGAGGTTCTCTCCCTTAAAAAACGTTTTTGAATCTTAGCATATCAATATGTAGGTCGAATGTTGACTTTTACTTTGGTTATTTGAGGTCAAAGTCTCTACTACTTACACAATGTAGGTTAGAAGTGCTTTGGGAGTTTAAGAAGAAAATCACTGAGCAAAGATAAAAGTGGAAACTTTTTTGAATAAGCTAAAAACAATTATTCTATGCTTTTCTTAATAGCTAAAATTCCATCTTTAAAAGCAGAACATGGGAGAACACAGTTAATCTGACCAAGGGATTTCATGGGTAATTTCTCCCTAATCATGAAATGAAAAAAAAAAAAAAACGATTCCCCCCCCTAAAATTTGCAGGGAAAAAAAACAGTTTTTTTTTTGTTGCTTCACCAGGTAATAAAATGGCTGACCAGACTTTTAAGCGTTGTACCAGATGGGCAAGATCTGGTTGAGTCTTTTCATAAACAAACCCATACCTGGCTCACCCAGTCCAGTATCCTATGTGCCAGGCTATGCTTGATGAGTTTATCTAATTTCTTGCAAGGCTAAGTGGTTGTTTATTAAAGCACTTTGAATAGACATTTCAGAATTATATTATTAATAGGTGATTAAAATAGCCTAAACATTTCAACCACAAGGGAAAAAGCACCAGCAAGAATAGGGTAACAACCCTTATCTGTGGAACAAGAGAAGCACAGAATTAAAGGTTGAAGTAGGAAAGTTTCAAGACAAATTATTCTCACAACACTCTTGTTTGTGATAGCATAATAGAATCTTTGAAGCAGCAAGAATTCTGACCAGAAAAGCAAAACTTGTAATGTTATACTTTCAAGTTGTTTGACAACAAACTAGAAGATAATTAACGTACTCTAAAAGTAATCTATTTATTAGAAGGTGCGCCCCAGCATTGTACAAAGCCCTTGAAAAACAAAGTTATTTACTAGATATTTAGAATAGATATAAATTATTAGTTCTCTTTATTTGAGCAGATAATATAAGCTATCTCAATAATAAACTAACTTATTCCTTACACCTTTCCCTAACACGAAAAAAAATCATGATAGGAACAATGTTAATTTTTCTATCACCTATTTTTATTTCAATTTCTAAAATCTTGCCCAATTAAGTGGGCTGGGTTGAGCTAGCCTAGTATATTGTCTCTGCGCTGGAAAAAAATTACACATAATTCATCAACAATTTAGGTAATACAAATTTATGGTTTTGCCCCTGTCCTGTATCATTCCTTCTCTTCAAAAAAATAGGGATAGTATTGGGAGGTTCAAGTTCTCAATTAATTGTCAACATTTCTCATTATGTTGATGTTTTATAAGTTTGGGCTGTTTGTGGCCTTAGATGATTAATAATTCTTAGAATGTGAACCCTTTTGTCACTCTGAATAAAAGAATCAGTAGTTTTTTTACTTTTATTTTAAAAAATGCAATTTATAATTTTATATTCTTCATCAATCGAGAGATGGGATAAATTGTTTAGTTGAAGAATCTCGATCATCTAAATTAATTTGAATAATCTATACTTGGAACATAAGAAATGGTTGATATATAAACTCATCTTTACTACTCAAGTTATCTTCATATAGTTAAGATTTTCTTTTTTCCCTTTTCAAGTTCTGCTTTTAAACAATATCAGATGAAAATAGGTTTTTATTTATGAATTCGAAAATTAAGTTGTGAATTGAAAAAAGGACGATTAATATCTATCAAATAAAATATAAAAAAAGGTCAAATCATTGTATCAAGAGGATCCAAATTGCTGCTGTTTGATTGATTTGTCATGGCATCAATATCCATGCTATTAACATTATTTGGTCACTGATTGTCCATGTTACTGTTTAAGACAATTAAAAGGACTAAGAAAGAAACGTTTTTTTTTTTTTGTTCCTGGTGACAGAAAGAAACGTTTTCTGCGGATGAAGGTGAACGATGATGGAACATTACAGTGACGCTGATACTCACACATACACACGTATATACATATAGGTTGCTTTACCCTTACATGGCTACAATTCAATTGCTGTCAACATAAAGCCCAGGTATTAATGTCAAAATAGAATATAATAGCAACACGTTGAAAACCAAAACATGAAAACGTGTAAAATAATGGAAAAGCACGGCAACAAAAGGCATTGAAGATTTGATGTTAGCAGCAAATAAATGCTGCACTAAACCAGATTGAACATATCAGTAGATTCCTTGATGAAAAACCATATGATTAATATAATAGTAGTCCCCTTTCTTGAATGGAACACTGAAAGCACCAAATTTAAAGACCTGGGACTGATCCAAATAAAAACGTAGAAAAGCCTTATTGGCTTATTAGCTATTTCAAGAGGCACATATATAATTTTCCTGATATGATCAAGGTTTCCATTTTTCCCACGCATGACACATTAGACCCCACTTCCTACATTGTTCATGTTTACAGTTGCGATGTATAAACTTCCTTTATATGTTTAAAATTGTCTGATGCTTCTATAGATGTGCTCAGAGCTTACATTATATGCAACTTCTTAAAGGTCTTCAGTTTCTCCTCGACAGAAAGTTGCGTCGATTTTTTCGTCATAGAAACTTACCTCTGCACAAGTCGGTCATGGCTGCTCCTGATGAGAAAACGTCTCCGAAGATCTTTGATTTCTGGATAAGAAACCGCGCAGCCAAATCTGTTCTCTACTACACCATCATGTTTCTGGTTTTCTTACTCGTCATCAATGCTGTAAGTATCCTGTCTAATTCCCCGCGAGCAACGTATGGCCTGAGAAGTATTCAGAAAACTCTTGGCAAACAAGAAACTCCAAAAGCTGATGATGCACCAGTTGAATCACCAAGTGTTGAAGCAGAGGAAGAGGAAGAGGAAGATCCTCTTGTGCCACCAGAAAACTTGTCCAGGGAAGAAAGAATGGCTTGGTTCAGAATTCAACTTCCAAAGCTTGATATACTGAAACCGTGCAATTCATCACAGCATTTTCACATGAGAATCCTGAGCTTCCTCAACAAAAAGTGTTCCACATTGTTTCACATTATATGGTTATCACCGGCAAAGTCATATGGGAAAAGAGAACTCCTGACTCTGGATTCATTCTTCAGTGTCTATCCTGAAGGATGCTTGGTGATTCTATCAAACACTATGGATTCCGTGCGTGGTTACAGAATTCTGAAGCCATTTCTTGACCGTGGATTCAAAGTTACGGCAATTACTCCGGATTTGCCATTCTTGTTCAAGGACACTCCAGCTGAATCATGGCTTGAAGAGATCAGAAGCGGGGATAAAGACCCTGGAAATATCCCCTTGTCCCAGAATCTGTCCAATCTCATACGACTAGCAATGTTGTACAGGTATGGAGGAGTCTACATGGATGCGGATATGATAATTCTGAAGGATTTCACACATTTCAGAAACGCAGTAGGAGCCCAGAGTGTGGATTCAGTGACTAGAAAATGGACAAGACTAAATGGTGCAGTCATGATATTTGACATTAACCATCCAATTCTAATAGATTTTATGCAAGAATTTGCAACAACTTTTGATGGTAATAGATGGGGTTATAATGGGCCTTACTTGGTTTCCAGAGTTATAGGGAGAGTTGGAAGCTCCCCAGGTTACAACCTCATGATCTTGCCTCCAAAGGCATTTTTCCCTGTAGATTGGATTAAAATTGTCAGGCTGTTCAAGAAGCCAGAAGATGAAACAGAATCAAAATGGATGGGAAATAGGTTTATTGAATTACTATATGATGGGGAGACTTACACAATTCACATGTGGAACAAGATTAGTAAAGTCACTGAGATAGAACAGGGAAGTGTCATTGCAAGATTAGCCTCCGCGCGTTGTGTTATCTGTGTCAATATCACAAACAGTTGATGTGCGAAGGTTCAAATCCAAGAATGAAAACTTGTTCGCACATGGATTTTTGGAGATACCGTTTGATTATGTTTTCCTTTGTAGTTGATTAACTCTTCAAGCTTTGTTCTTGCCTTTGTAATTACCCAAAAAAAAAAAAAAGATCCCGTTTGACATTTAGTACCGCCTACCATCATAAAATAAATGAGAATGATTCTTTTCCTTCGTTTTACAAGAATTTTCTGTTAATCGCAAAGTTCATTTCACAAAGTATATTTGATATTGGATTTCAATCAATAAATGAAAATGAATCTAAAACAATACTTCTAAACTACGAGGAAGTTAAAAACGGATGCGAAGATGGCATTGAGACGTTCAGGTACAAGAATCTGCAGAGATATTGTTCTCCTGGCAAGTTTATGCTTTTCTTCCATTACTAGCATATTGATCGTCAACTGTCGGGGAAAAGAATATAACTTTAAATTGTGGCAAAATGGTTTTCTAGCTGTAGGAAGGAAAGAGTGCTTTTTTTTTTTTTTTTGACCTGGAAGTTAGATTATCCTGTTGAGATCCTCATTTTCTCTTTACTGTCTCTTGTCTCGTAGCTATGGAGGAATCTGCCATTGTTGAAAAGCAGAGCCAGAGAAAAAGAAGCAGCAGCGACAACAACGCTTTTGCCAAGTTCGTGCCTCTTGCTTCGCCATTAGGAGACGACGGTGCATCCCAAGAGGCAAACCTTGAAGCTGAAGGTCACGATAATGGACGCAAAAGACTCAAACCAAATTCCCCGTCGGAGTTCGCCTACATCTCCTCTTCCTCCTCTTCTCCTCTTCTCAAGCAATCCATGGCCCAAGACAATCAGCAATTTTCCTCTCCTTCCACAATGAGTAAGCATTCCACTGATACAAGACCATCTCCATCTTCCATTGCGAGCAAATCCAATATCGCTTTCGAGGCGCTGGATACAAAAAGCAGCCAAGATCTCTCAGCTGGTGAGATTCTATTTTCCAATGTTTGTTTTCTCTTCGCGCAATTTATGAAGGTAACGTGTTCGCTAAATTGCTTAGGGAAATTCAATTGCAAAGAAGATCGATTTGAGCTGGGGCCGACAGGTTCAATGGCAGCTGAACAACTATCTAAGAGACCAAAGAGCGGAGGAATCTACGAAGCAATTAGGGTTCATAGAGAAAGTACATTGAAACGGCTAAGAGAACTGTGCAATGAGGAGCCGACGATCGATGTGGGAATTGAGATGGCTGATGTGGCATCTCTTCTGAAGCTTATGAGCTCCTCAACTGATGAGATCATTGAGAGCGCAGGGCAAAAGGCTCATCGGGGAGCACTGTTGTTGCTTCAAGCAGAGATCCTTCGCAAGAATGGTCTGCAGCTACTTTCTGAGAGCCAAAACTCGTTCAAGGATATCTTATAATTACGGGTTGCTTTGGTTCAAGCGGACCTTAAATTTTCCCCTTTGTTCAATCTAACTGTTATTTAACTTCTTATATGATACTGATCTTTACGTTCGAAAGACATGCTTTGGTTGGAATCGAACAACTGAATATCTTTCTTTCGGTATATGCATTTCTACGGATTCAATTTTCTGGGATTCTTGCGTATTCTTACATATGATAACTTTGGTGATTGGCAATCGTGTCACAATATGAAGAAGTCAAATGTACCGATATTTACTTTGATTGTCATTTTCATATTGGTTCTCTGGCACATTCATAAAATCAAAATATTCTACGTCTTGATATAAACATTCTCACATAAAAATGCTTCATAGTAAGTTGGACACTGCAGACCTGCCTCTCTCGGCTTTAACTCTGAAAATCACACATTCTTCTATCTGCTACAGTATTGGGGTTTACATGTGAAACTTCATCTTCAAAATTTACTTAGTCACGGGCAGAATAATAGGTCTGCATGATAGTAAGAGCAAGCAGCAGAGCAGCAGCTATTACTCCTATCAATTTCCATACATTAGGGATATGGTCACGAATCAGGATCCTATAGCTGCGTTTGCAGAAGAACTTGATGAATTCTACACACAGTCTGCAATAATGGCACATCATTATAGGGAACTTCACCAAGGGGTTCACTGCCGAGTATGCGTTCAAGTCCTCACACAGTTGACTGTAACTTGAATCCATTTGGTCTGCCCCACTTGTGATTGTACTAAAAAGTTCGAGTAAATCTTCGTTGCTTATCTTGGTTTCATTCATTATAACTCCATTTTCTACGAGCAGCTCAATATCCTGGAGAGAACAGATCAACCCTTTGAAAAACAGAGCATAGGAAGTGAACTGCCTGTTGATTCCGATCCTACTCTGCTCCCAAGCGATGAAGTTCCTCAAGTAGATTTCTGTGGTGTTCACGATATGCAAAGGTGGAATTTCTAGAACCCCTTTGCTGAATCTAAACCCAAAGTTAAATCTGAGGATGTTTTTACAATGTGCAGGTCGAATTGCAACCCCAGCAGCTCTCAACCTGGTAGCACACCGCCGAAGTTCTTGGTGAGCTTGTTTCACCTTCTGTCCTTCTTCAACGATGGAGGATAAGTGCAAAAGATGGAGAAAGTGAGCGACACTTGAACAACGAATCCAAGGGTATCTAAACAGGGAAAGAGCGAGATCTGAAACAAGATTATCAGCATCCCTGGTGAAGAGACTGGGAAAAAGTATCCTGGCCAATGTCTTGATAACAAAGAAGGGTATTTGGTTCTCAAGCAGAGTCAGATCCGTTAGAACAGAGAAAAGGAACTCCTCGTTTTGAACTATAGGATCAGAAGCATGGTTGTGGGATTCATGGTCATTTGGTAATAAATTCATGAGCTCTGGTGGCGACAATCGAAGAAGGAGTTCTAACAAGAAACAACCATCCAAAAGCATAATCTTAGCTAGCTCGTGGGAGTCATACCTGATGTTGCCTCCATAGCTTGCACGAACAGCGTCGTCTAAGCCAAGAATGACGGTGCCACATTTGTCTAAGGCGGAAACAGGGTTTTGGGTTCGGTGAAGAAGGGAAAGCATGTAACGCCATTTGTGCTCTTCCATGGCAAGAAGGTGACTTTTGGTTCCTCTGTGAATGGGTCCAATGGCGACGAGTTTCGGGGAGTAAGCTTGTTCATTGGGCTTTCGAAGTTGAGTGGGGACGCTGGGAATGCTGCTTATGAATGATTGAACATCCCTGTGATCAAGAGAACCCAGCGTGACCTTGATAGAATGCATCCAGGCACATTCATTTGGGGTTTCGTCCATTGCCTGAAACTAGTCTTGGGGACGTCTAGGTAGGGGCAATCAATGAAGATGAAAGGAAACTCACTCACCGTCGAATGTGAGATGTGAGATAACGAAACAACGGCTCTGAGCGAAACAGGAGAGGGGAGTTCCATTCCATCTATTACTCAATTATGGGCAAAAATATCAAGCAGAGATTTTGATGAAGGACAAAACTCCAAGGAATTACGTTAGAAATTTTTTTTTTGGTAAATAATTACGTTACAAATTTTGCTGCTACTCACTACTTGCTTTGTTCTTTCTTGCTCCAGCTGCGTCCCACTGTACTTTTTGGAGACAGGGTAAGGCTGCAAGTATCAGTGTATCATACTCTCAGAAGGGTTAGAGAGAAGGGCATCTTGGCACTTTACCCCCACTCCTTATTGCTTGCTTCATTGTTAAGCTAGTTCAGTGCTTTTAAAATATAATAATGAATTCAAAACTTTGTAAAAAGAGAAGAAAAAATAAAATGAATAACAATAATAATAATAATAAAATTGTTGTGAAATACTACTTCCAATTCTAATTATAAGACCTAGTTGACTAATTTGGAAAAATTAAGGAACTTAGTTAAATTAGTTATTTGTAATGAATATGTGTTGTTTTTCCTAAAATATCCTTGCTAGTCAAATTTGTTATCTATAACTACTATTATTAGAAGGATTATCATGGAAAAAAGTGGATAAATATGAGAGACAAAGTAGATTGAGGTCTTATATTTAGAACCAAAATAAAAGTCAAACAGGGTCTTATAATAAGGACAGGAGGTAGTATGTGGTTGCGGATAAAGCCACTTGCGAATGTTCTAGAGCAAACACAGAAGAAAGTGAAGCTCCATTCTGATTCTGATTTTGATGAGGCAGTCTGTGAGCAAATCTTGCACTCCTCCAGGTCTGCTTCATTTCTTGTTCTCTCTCTGTTTTTTTTTAATCAAAAAGCATTTGCCACTGAATTTTGATTTTTCTACCATCTAATTAAAACCGTCTAATTTTTCTACTGAAAAAAAAAATGTCCAGTTGACTGGGGGGAAAATAGAGAGGGTGTGTGATAGAAGAACTCGTGTAAATTCTCCTGAAGTTTCGAGCTACAAAAAAAAAAAAAGCTTTAAGCGACGACTTTCGACGGCGACAAAAAAAGTCGCCGCTGACTTTCTTAGTCTCTACTGAAAGTTTGCCGCTGAAAGTATACTTTTGAGAATTATTGGGTTCACTTTCAGCGGTGACATTCTATGGTCGCCACTGAAAGTAGACTTTCAGTGTCGCCGCTGAAGGTCTGACCTTCAGCGGCGACTTTATAATGTCACCTGCTGAAAGTGTAATATAATAATATATATTTTATTTTACAATATTAATAAACAAATTCAATCTGGCTCAGCGGCAAGAAGATTGGACACGAAAGGAGATGGTTACGAGTTCGAACCTTGAAGAAGACACATTTAAGGTGAAAATATTTGGACGATGACGTGGCGGGGAGGAGTGATGTGGCAATGACGTGGAGGTGGCTAGTGATGATATGGCGGCCGGTGACGATGACGTGGCAGCCGGCGGTGATGACGTGGCGTTGGTAAAGCCAATTCTTCTTAGGCATTACTTTCAGCAACGACAAGAATATCGCTGCTGAAAAGTCTTTTAGCGGCAACAAGAATGTCACCGCTAAAAGTGTTGAAACTTCTAAAAGTCGCCGTTGAAAGTTTTCAACTACGGCTGCTGTGCGGCAGCGACTTTTTAGCGGCGAATTTTATACTTGTCGCCGCTGAAAGTCAATTTTTTTATAGTGGGGACTACGAATAGAGGGGATATGTGAGGCAAAAAAAAGGGGAAGAATGGGAGGGATCTAACTTTGGCCCATGTTTCTGACGGGTTAGCCCATAAACAATGATTTCTAACAACAGGTCTCGGGGGCGTCCCAATTTAATTTGGGCCTAACTAGTAACTTAAAAAAAAAATGTTAGGCTTATATTAAGTAAAACAGGGTCTTATATTAAGAATCGGAGGTAGTATTTAATAACGTGAGTAAATCCCACAGCATTGAAATTAACATGATAATTAATTATAGCACCTGAAATGAATTAATCAAGCGTGACTTATAAAACACAATTAGACACCGCACCTTCCAAATTTGACTTTTCAATACGTGTGTATTTGCATCATGATAATTTGCTTTTAATAAGTTAGATTATTATGATAATTGATCAAGAAAAAGCTAAACAAAGGTGACTTGACAATTTATAAAGAAAACATATACATAACGTGAGGCATTAAAAAATGACTTCAGTTACCTCACATGTTTTCTTCTTTTTTATTAAGGACAGATTCATGAAGTAATTGTTTATCCAAGTCTTTTCCCCTTCATTTGGGCCACGAAATAAGGGTCAGCGTTATGTATTAGTATACTAGTCCTATGGTAAGTTGGCCAAAAAAAAAAAGCAAGTCCCATCGTAAGCAGAAATAAAGTATTTATTTAGTTTAAAGTTCTTTTTGCCGTTTCAGTGAAACATGTTGTTGTAAATAATATGAGAGGAGTAAGTGGCATTATAATACTCTTCCTTGTATTTTCAACTACGTACTCTGTCGGTGGCAAACAAAAAGTTATATTTTTCCAACCCTCAAAGGTTTACTCAGATCGAAGGCATTAACATTTTATGCATTTTTATAACCGTTAGTCGTCCATTGGCATGCGCTGCATACTCTTCCTTGAAAACGGCTTTATGTTTAAATAAGGGAAAAATTACTTCTAGTCCAAAGTAAGAAATTAAATATAAATAGTTTTCCGAATTTTATTTAATATAGAAAGGTTTCAACTCTAAAATTATTTACAAGTCCAATATGTGTATTTACAATTTGAATTGCTTCATTCATGAGTTAAATTTGGAAATACTGAATTCATTAAAACCTATTAATATTAAATAAAATTTGAGAAATATGTTTATATTTATTTTTTTACGTGGAATCTATGGGTATTTCTTTCCTTAATTAAAGAATTGGCTATTCGATCTTTGCTGACTTTGATTTTTTTTTACCTTATTTATTTGTTTCCCCTGCAAGTTGCGTAATCATCCATACAATTAGTGTGGCTTGTATTTTTCATCCATACAATTATGTAATTTTCTTTTAACCAACTCCAATTATGTAACTGAATTTTATGGTGACCTGCAATTATTTCAAAAATATAAATAATAGAGTCAACCAATCCTAGTTAATCCTATCATCGGAGCTTCATATCATTGGTTAATAGCATGCAAAGCAAGCTCTAAAACGGAATAAAATACGAGAGAAGGGCTTATAAGATCTGAAAAAAAATGTAAATAAATAAAGCTAGATAACTAGCTAATTTAAAAAAATTTAAAAAATTAATTAAATTAGTTATCTGTAACAAGCTTTCTCTTAACTATCTTATTTAATTATATTCATTAGCATTATCCTTTGTTAGAACCCCTTATAATTAAAAAGAATATTCATTTAGAAATTATCTGTTGCTTCTCTACCCAGCCAATGTAAAGAATTTTAAATAATTAACCATAGTAATATTCAAATAAACATTTTGAAAATATCATAGTAAAAATAATAATCTTCAGCTACTTCTCACTAGGTGATGCGACTTTTTCACAAAAGTGCTTTTTTCGCAAATCGAAATAAATTTTTTTGTATATTTATTTCATATAACATAAAAATATTTTTAAAATCATGATTTTATTTCTACCCAATCACTTTCATAGTAACAATTTGCCTTTCTAGATTCTTGATTATTTGGTTAAAAAACACTTTATTTTTTTACCAGGAAAAACAATGTTTGTTTAAATAATTAACAACTCTGTTTTATGATGGTTGGATCAAAGAAGGAATTCGATTTTCTTAAGATAAGATTAAGAATTTAAATATAGTGAATAAAAAAAAATAAGCTTAACGCACACAAGAAAGATCGATCTACCACCGGTTCAAGGAAAGCTGGTGGTTCCTGGAACCAAATGGATTTAGATTAGAATTTTAAATTTTTTCCCCCAGTCATTTCTCTTTCTAGAATTTGCAATCAAACGATTATCATCATCTAAATTTTGCAGATGCGTCTAGTCTTCTTTTAAAATAGTCGTCAATATAAAACAAATAAAAATATGTAATCTGATTTTCTTTTTGGATTTTCCCGAATGGTTGACTAGCTCCTATCTTTTCATTTGACCCATAACTGATTTCGCATTGATAGGGCCAATTGAACCGACGAGTCTATCTAATTCGATCGCTTCAATGTTTGTGTATGCGCGCGAACTGCGAAGTCCCCTCATTTGCCAGATCAAAGCGGAAACATTGCTCTTGGCCATCATGGGGTCGTTTTGCCCTAATTATATTACTTTCATTTTTTGTTAGAAATAACTTATTTTTACAAATATATTAAATTGATAAAATTTTTAAACGTATTGTCATTTAAATTTTTTTCTCTACATTTACAAATCATACTCACATTTTTCTTTTTTCAACAAACAATAAATAAAGATAAAACTAAAAAATATCAATGAATACTATATAACTGACTTATTTTTAGGACTAAATAGGCCTAATTTTATTCTTAGTTAAGAATACTTTATACTATTTAGGACAGGATATATAATAATAAACGAAGGCTAATGAGGTGCGGACCTTGCGGAGGTGACTTCTCATGGATAACGTATGTTTGAAATGGAATAAAATGGCAGCAGTCTGCCTTTCTAGATTCTTGATTATTTGGTTAAAAACACTGTTTGTTTAAATAATTAACAACTATGTTTAATGATTGTTGGATCAAAGAAAGAATTCGATTTTCTTAAGATAAGGCTGAGAATTT